AATTGATAATGTTACATATGTATATAAAATATATGTACTTATATATATTAGCAAGTAATGGAGTAGCTTTTATTACTCACTGATAATATATTTTATTTCCAAAATATTTGAAAATCTCTACAATACTTATCTCTAGTGACTACAGCATGGGATTTTTTAAGAAGGGTACATTAAGGTTTCTTAAGCCCTGTTGTTTCAGGCGTTCATAGACTACGTTAAACATTTACCATCAGATGGGCTGTATGCTTGCTTGACATCATCGTAGTATAAAAAAAATAGTTTCTAGTAATTCTACGGCGGGTCGCTAATATAACAATAAAATCAAAATTATCAAAACACAACATCAAAAATCACAGAACCCATACAACTGTCTAGCTTACACACATCCACAATCAAAGTATATCTGTCCTTTTCCCGCATACCGGAAATGATACCTCAAAGATGGCTGCGGCAGGATATGGGAGGGGCGATTTGATTTATAGTTTGGGGTGAGGGAAGGGGGGAACTATTTGTGTGTGTGGGTTATAAATTTATGTCAGACGGTGAATTGGAGAGACAGTTTAAGTTCTCGGTATGATTGTGCACAGTTACGTTATCGAATACAGATCAGTTTGTCAGCAATGTTCATTTTTTTATACTACGTAGGTGGCAAACAAGCATATGGTCCATCTGATGGTAAACGGCTACAGTATCCTATGGACGCCTGAAACTCCAAGGGTGTCACAAATTCGTTGCTGACCCTTAACAAACCTTTATATAGCCGTTCATAAAAAAAACTTATAGAAGTACGTTTACATATTTTATTATTTTATGCATACGGCACCTACCACTTTCTATCGATTCTTTTATCTATTATCAAAGGTTGTCTGGAAGACATTCCTTGAGCGATAAGACCGCCTTATGAAGAATACAAATTTTTACTAGTATTTGGTTTTTATTAAAATAGTAGTTGTGTTCCCGCTCCAGTAACATTGGGTAACAAAACAATATATAGTTAGTCAAAGGTGACGTATAAAAATAGATATAAAAATATAAAGTTTATAAAAAGAATGGTAGACTGCCATTCTGCCACTGCCAATGGTAGAATGCCAGTAACACTTGTAATACATGTTTGGTGTAATAAACAGTTTATGAATAAATAAACAATAAAAAATGAATGAAAAAGATTAACAAAAGACAGCCTTATCGTTGAATGTAATCAGTTAGACCTTTGCATTTACTTGCCAAATTTCTTTTTAAAACGAATTTCTTACATTAACATAACACAGACCGCAGTAAATTAATTTTACAGGACCAATAAACATTTTCATCCGTAATACTCGTGAACGGGGACTGGTCTGTTCGGGGTACGGTCTCTGATTAAATTATTTCATTCTGACAAAAACGTAATAGTAATGCTGCTGGTCACTATATTCTCCCTAATTTATTTAAAGAATAGAACTGTACATCTTTTACAGTCATTTTTAAAATTAAAAGAGTTCCGTTTCGTATCTGTTCGAATCGGAACTGATGGTAGATTTGACAATAGGTATTTATACATTTTAAAATATCCATTTTAGTTTCTTAAATGAAATCTCCATAGATAAAACCGTGAAACCTAAACATGTACCTACTATCGAAACTCCACGGGTCTGCGGACCATAGATTAAGAAATACTGTTGTAATCAATACATGATATATTTAGGCAGCCGACTGTACTTACCATTTGTATATCACACTAACTATCCCGGCAATCGTTTTTACTATATAAATTAATATCGCTATTAAAAAAAGGGTCTATCGTAGGTTAACGTTTGAGGGTAGTATGTAAGTACTTTAAAACCAAATTATAGAAAAAGTACAAGTTTTTTTGAGGTATATTCTAATTCTTATACCCTTAATTGAATAAGGATAACCCATCCTTGTCACCTAGGGGTAAAAAAATACATAACTTACATTCATATAAAATTTTTTTCATTCAGACAAACAACACGGCATGATTGTTTTATATATAAAGATAATAACATTAGTAGGTATGTATGTAGATACGTAAGTTAGGGACGAGAGCCTTTTACCATAATGGCATAAACATAAAACCTTTTTATTGCTATGTTTTCGTCTTCGATTTCACTTTCCATTCCCTTTATTGCTTATGGTACTCACTTACAATGGCATATTAAGTAGGTACTGCTTTGTATACAGGACGGGGTCGGGAAAGGGGTGCGGAGGACGGGATTGTTAATAATTAACGAAATATTTATAAAAATACACGTATAATTAGTGAAAATCACGTGATGTTACCACGTTTTATTTTATTGAGTTCCCGTGATTTTTGCTAATTAGGTATACGTATAAATAATAATGGCATCAAATTTAAAACAGTATATCACGTAATATTTGTTTCAATTATTAAATGTTAAAATATTTTAAATGGTGCTCTTTTTTTGTTCTCTCTTTTCGAATTTGTGCCACTGAAATACAGCGGTATGTGATTAGTGTCACTAAAACATGCAAAAAAACTGAGTGGAACTAAATCAGTGTTATATGTACTAAATACTATATGTAGGTAAAAAATATTTGTATTCTATTATTTTTTTATTTATTACTCTTTATTACACCTGAAAAAATACAACATACAAAATATAGATTTTTTTAAATTATAGAGTATGAAGCTACAAATAACATTTTATAAGATTGCTTGCCTTATAAAATGAATACATATAAAATAATACAATATAAAACTGAACAAATATCTATATACCTAGATATTTTTATATAAATTACACTTATTCTTTCTTTTTCTTTCTAATAACCGTGGTACTGTTCAGGTTGACAGCTTGTTTTTTATTCCAGGTATAGGTACAAATGTAATGACAAACAAACTGACGACCCGAACGACGGGTACATACTATAATGAGTTTTGTACTCTGTACAAAACTCATTATGAACAATAAACGACTTTAAAATTGTAATTATTTATTCAATCAAGTAATGATCACATTGATCAGCCCACATAACAGAGAATTGAGCCCCCTAGAGCGCCGCTGTGCTGCCCATACTACCATGTTTTGCCATTCAGGAAGATAAAGAGTCATGCTTCCATACCCCATAATTAATGGCAAAGTATTAGAATAGAATAGAATAGAAAACTCTTTATTCAAATAAACTTCAATTTAAGCACTTTTTAATAGTCATACTTTTTCTTAATCTGCGGATTATTCGGAAAGTTTCTCTTTTAAATAATTTTTACATGACAAGTTTCTCTTTTGAATAATTTTTACATTTTTAAGTTGAAATGTATGAATACAAACTATCAACTAACACTAATACATTACAGTCCAAATGTTAAGTACTCAATTAAATGGATAAGTAACTAAATAACATTAAATAAGTCGAAGTCATTAAAGCAGGACGCTCCTGACCGATGAGCCAGCCATCGCTTAGCTGGACCATATTACTTTCTTTCCTAAAGTAAATTCTGCAAGCCACGAGATATAGAACCAAAAGTCTTATAAGCAAAATAATAGCAAACTTTGTTACCTACAGACAAAGTTCAAAACCAATTGATTATGCGTTTCAATCCCCTTGTGAAACGTACCTACGTACCAAATACACATCTACATACCATATCTGTACCTACACAAAGTTAAGCAGTAAAAGGTGCGCGTTCGACTCCGGACGAGGCAATAAAATCAAATAGAAGGCTTCTACCCTCCCCACCTTACAAGGGAGGCAGTCAGTGCGGGCGTGTCGCAGGAAACAGTAAGCGACATTATTGCCATCTGCAAGTGGCTTCTTGCATAAAACTTTTGAGGTTATATTTACGATATATTTAATATAACGTCCTTTATCCCAGTGCTATTACTAGCGATTTCCAATTAATATATTTTAAAATTTATTTGCTATTCAATATCATTTCTAGGTTGGGTGGATGGATTGTGTGAACGATGATATGTATAAGAGGTGAGTAAGCTCAGTTATGTCGGCTGATAGGGATCAGTGGAAGAAGAGGACATGAGCCATAATGTTCCAATCTCAAATAATGTGATAAAATATGGCAATGATTGATCACTTATAAGTTATTTTTTGGAAATAATTAATTAAATCACTAATTTATCATACATTAAACCGTAACTATTTATTTGCCATAACAAAAATAAAGGAGTCGGAGCATAGAAAAAAAGAAATATTAAAGAAATTAATAGAATCTGCACTTTTTCATAATTTCTACGTGTTTATCTATAGCATTGAAACATTACGCTTTTTTCCATAGTTTTTCGTCCTTTGTACGTTCTTATGTACTCTATTTAAACAAATTCGTTGGTTATTTTAAACTACACTTTTCTATTAGGTATATAATGAAATTTTTACATCTCATGTTTGTCTAAATTCCATTTTATATATTGCCAAACTTTCCCGTCCATATCTCTGATATAAAATTTTATTCGATCGTTATGCGAGTTACCACTTTCTAGCCGACGATGGTCCCCTAACTTTGTTGAGTCTGGGGGTCGGGGAGTGAGAGTATTGCTTTATTTTTGCGAAGCTCTAGTACGTGACGGGTTTCGTTCGGGTTCCGTAGATATACTTGGATAATGCCACTATCAATCATATATGCTCATATTGTCTAAGTGCATAATAGAACAAAATGTTGTACAAATTAATATAGACAAGTTTATCTATATATATGTTTAAATGTCCTTGTGAGGTAAGGACCATAAAATATAACCCAATTTGAAAAAAGTCTGTTTTTGAAATGGATTATAAACAATCAATTCCAATAAGATAGTAAATTCATATTCAAACTCAAAAATCATTTAGGTATTTACATTGGACCTTTCGGCCTCTTGTGAACATCTGAGTGCATATTTTTTATCACTGCCTTGGTACACATAGGTCATGTTTGCCACTTACCATCAATGACTTATTGGATGGATCTTTAGTAGTTGTCAATTTATGTTACATAAAAAAAAAGATAACACAAAAATGATGAAATTTTAATAATTTACATTACCTTACAGCTGTTCAGAATGAACGCCAACCACGCAATACGGCGACAATCAGACCTGAAGCCCTAAGAGATATGGACCAGGAGAGAGCGCTCAGGGAAGCCGCCGTCGCAGTTGGTGTGTTTGGGTAAGGAAATCTATCGTATGGCTTTATATTCGAAGGGGGAACTGTAAGGTATTGTCAGAAAGGGGGACTATTGGTCTAGGTATAATTTCCCCCCTCTTTCTGCCAATATTCCTATCCTTCCCAAACACTTTATCATATCTTTTCCAGACTCGTTATATGTTATAATACTTATTTGAGAGACAATGTACAGTAGCTGTCTCTTTCTTACCTAAGTCTGCTAAGATACTTGCTGTGTTTTGAAAATAAAACAAATCAATATAAATAAAGAAATACCGATACGAGTACAGAAAATACACCATTCTTTGTTTTAGAAATAGTTGATTAAATCGGTTAAGAATATTATGCATACATACAATGGAATATAAAAAATCTTTGTTCAAATAAGTTTAAATTTAAGGACTTTTGAATATTCCTCAAATATCATCGATACCGAGAATACACTCTTTATTTAGTAATAATTAATTAAATCCTATAAATATTTTATGAATAGAATATATATATAATATAAAAACTCTTTATCTAACTAAACTTAAAGTTAAGCATTTTCGAATTGTAATACTTTTTTTAAACATCGATTCAAATACACCATTACTTTTTTAAAGTGTCTAAATTATTAAATTGGTTATGAATAGAATGGGATAGAAAAATTATTTATTCAAATATATTTTAATTTCAGTCCTTTATAATAATCATAGTTTTTGTTTTAATTTGAAGCTTTATTTATAACACAAACATTCGAACTTTTCCTCTCTATGTATTATTGGTTTAAATGAGAAAACTGAGTTAAAAGGGAATGCTTTCAAATAACATGAGTATGATTTCTCTCAGAGACGGTTTATAGTACAACTCATGTATGAAATTCTTTGTAGCGGAGGGTTGAAACGTGTTATAGTGAGCCGGTGTGGAATCTCAGTTATATTTCTTTGTCCTTTTAATAGATTTCAAAACGTAATAAATTTCTTCCAAAGTGTTTTGAAATAAATAAATAAATAAATAATGATAATAATAAAATAGAACAAAGACATTATCTTTACATAGATAAAATGAGTACGCTTTCGACGTTTCTCGCTTAGATGTTTTAATATAAAAGACGTAACGGATTTTAATGAAATTTTTGACGACAGATAGCGTGATTCAAGAGGAAGGTTTATATTTAGGTACTTATACCTTTATATGTAGGTATTTACACCCGTGCGTAGCCGGGGCGGGTAGCTAGTAAACAATATAATAAAACATACATTAACAAAGTGTTATATTATTGGTGTACTTTTGTTTATTATTGAGTTAGGATAATGTTTGAATATGTTTTTTTTTGCAAATGCAGGCATGATATCTCTAGCATTCTCCACAACGATGTCTGTGACTCTTTCTTCTCTTTTGAGCCTTCCTCAAACAATAACTGTTAGGTTTAATATTATTATAAATTGTCACATAAATTTATGAAGAAAACTAACCCTTAAAACTATGTTGTAAAGTATGTATAGTGATGGTTATTAATAGTGGTAATAGGGGTCGAAAGGGCCTCTGACGTCAAGCCAGCGAGGCGTACGAATCAAGCCTCAAGCCTATTAGGCTGATCAAAGGTTGGGTCGCCATGGATGACTGGCCTGCAGCAGCCCTTACTCGAAGAGTGAGAGATCTCGATGTTATAAACGAGATGTGAATCGATAATGATGAACGAAACGATTATAAATAATCGCCATTAGGTTACTAAAAATAATATATATTGTACACGTGTAGTATTTTATTGGAAACGGAATTGAGAAAGGAATAGGTTTCATCAAGGTGGTGTTTGTATAAAGTCGTCTGTATAGGTATGTAGCGTGGACTAGTCAGTAATTTTTATATTTACGTAGATAAATATACGTGAGATGACTAAGACGCCATCATATCCTGGAGCTTGAAGACAGGCAACAGGCAGGATTTTACGCACAACCACATTGTGGAATCACCTTCCTTCCCTCCTGGATATTGAAACCTTCAAGAAAAGAGCTTATTCCTTTCTAAAAGGCCGACAACGCACTCGCAACTCCTTGGTGTTGCGGGTGCTCATGGGCGGCAGTAATCACTTACCATCAGGTGAGCCGCATGCTCGTTTGTCCCCTGTGCTATAAAAAAGGCAGTAAGGCAGTAGCTCTAGGCTGCAGATGAGTAGAAGTTTCCAATGGAATGGAAATGGGAAACAACTCTATATGACTGATTGAAAATAACCTCTGGAAAAAAAGATAGGTTTTATAATAATTTACAGAACATATAATGTCAACTAACCTCTGTTTTCTATTTCAGTCTAGAATCAGCTTGCATTGTAGGCTTTGTTTCATGTATATAGGTGGCGTTTAGCACTTGCCACATACCGTATGTTTTTTTTTAATAGCATAGGAGAGAAACGAGCTTGCGGCTCACTTTATGGTAAGTGATTACCGTCGCTCATGAGCACTCGTTGCACCATGGGAATTACTAATACCTACGTTGCCGGTTTTTAAGAGGGAATAAGCTCTTTTTTTAATGATTACTATATTGTATTGGTACAGAAAATTGTATTAGATTCTACAAATTATTGAAATAAGTGCCATATTTAGAGTATAAATTGTTTGTGTAATTTCTAAAGTAAAATTTTAGTCTTGGATTTTTATTTTGTAATGTTGTAATAGATGAATAAAATTGTTTTAAATATAAAATTAAAAATAACTAAGTTATCAGCGACAGCATGAGATGTAGTTTATTTAAAAAATAGAGATATCTATTCGTTGGGTATGCATACAGCAATTGCATCAACGATATTTCTTTAAAGTGAATATACTAGTGATATGAAGCCGTATAATTTTTCCAATACATAAATATGTAGATACATTCAAATCTCCCATAAAAATACCATAACTTAAACCACTGTAAATATTACATTTGCATAATGCGTATACAGTTGGTATCGTGACGCTGTTACAACGTATTGCACTATATCCGATTGCTAGATTTGACTGCCAAATGTCCCCCGTTGTTGGGTAACAGAAGGTAAGTGAGGGTATTGATCGAATAAATATTATGAGTGATTGAACTGTTATATTTTGCGGTGGTAGGTATGAATACTAACCTTAATAAGTGGTAGTATATCAAGAAATTATGGATATTTATATATATTACTAGCTGTTCCCGCGACTTCGTCCGCGTGGAATTTAACTTTATTTTTCTAAACTAAAAGTAGCAGTACATCAGCCAACTGTCAATAAAAATACCGTCAAAATCGGTTCGACCATTTCAGAGATTAGCGGGAACAAACAGACAAACAGACAGACAAAAATTATAAAAAATGTTATTTTGGTTTATATTTATAGTAATAAAAGGTTATTTCAATAGTATAAATAGACACTCCAATTTTATTTATATGTAGGTATAGATAATGAAAAACATCCGATTGTGTTGTTTCAATTATCGAAGATGAAATGAAATGGTATGCATTTATTTGCTTGAAATATAGTAAAATATTAAAAGATTTTTAGTATTAATAATATAGTTCATTTCGTCATTGTTTTGGCATGCGAAATTTTAGTAATCTATAATTGAATTATTGAGAATATAAAAGTACTCAAAAATTACATTATCTGACAAAAGTAGATAGGTACATAAAAATTATTTTCGTTAGGTGTCAATCAATATTATTTAAAGATATTAATTTTATTTAATAAAAAAAATAACTTATCGTTCCTCGCTTTTATTGAATAATTCGTTGATTGTATAAAAACAATTCTCAATTAACCAACATCACCAAAATCATTTAAAAGAATTCCTCCTTGTAACGGAATGAAAATGGATGAACGAAAATGGAATTCCGAAAATAACACTCAATTCGATAACATAGTATTTTTATTGTTTCATTGCAGACCTCCGGTATCACTGGCAATGGCATTATCACCTGCACGGTATCCATTGCTGTCACCTCATTATACGGCTCTACCACCGCCGCAGCCAAGCCAGCAAGCGCAACCAGACTCTTCACATGATAACAACGAGGAAAACAATCAGCATACTGACAGTGATGGTAAGTGGTGACGGTCAGGGTCGGATAAACCATTAGTGGGTAGTTGCTTACCATCGCCTGCGCTAGCGGTCTACGTTGACAGAGTACCAGTGGAGGATGATAGGATGAGCATGAGGCCAGGTCAGTCAGCCCATCGTGATAAATTCATTAGGAATTTATCATAATCATTTCTAGTCTAGGTATCCCTCATCGACAATAGAGAGGGCATAAATGAAAATGTAAATATATATTATTACATAATAATTTGAATTCTCAATGAGAATAAATATTAGGTATATTATTGATTTTTTTCTACGCATCGACGATCATGCTATATGGTAATAGTGTGTATAAAATAATACCTTCTACTTACAATACAGTGCCATCTAGTGTCGAGTAGTAGAACTAATAATATGAAAATTTTACTTCTTGAATATTTAATTGACGCTGACAGTCAGAAATTATTTTTAATTGTAGTGTAATTGATACTTATAGTGCGGAATACTATAAAATGTTAATAAAAATGTTATTAAGTTAATACGAATAGAAAATATTAATACGTACCGCTGTCTGTGCTAATATAAATAAATAAAAAAAGCAGATAAATATTAAACAACATTGAACTACCTCCTTTAAATACTTTTTTTTTAATCTGTGAGTGACTCTGAGATTTGCATTGCCTATGGGCCCCGACATGGCCCTGCCCTGGTAACAATCAGATCTCGGGGAAGGGATAGTTAGTAAGGCTACTAATGCTGAGTAGTTCATAAACGAAGCAGTTCGAATGAGTGCTTCCGGAAACGAACTATGTGACGTAATTAATGACCTTTTACTGAATCATCAATCTAACCTGAAATATTTTTAGATTCAACAAGTGTCAGGCAAAAGTTATTGCTATGAAATAATTTTAGGCGATTGTGTTTATTTTATAATTTTTGATATTAATACTGATTGTAATTATTTAATAGGTTTATTTCTTTGCCTGTATATGTGGTATTTTTATATGGATGATAATAGAATTAGCCTGTCGTGACAAATTCGTCAGGATTTGATGGTTACCAGTGGGAAAAGAAATAATAGTGGGGGAAGAAATTGTTAGTAATGAGAACTAGTAGCCTCATTGCTAGCAAAGTACCATGTCAGGTTGATCTCCCGCAGTTCCCACTGGAAACCATCATGATAAGGTTCTGGTGAATTTTTCATGATGGGCTAACAGACCTGAACCCATGCTCTCATCACTCATCATCCTCTACTGTTGCCACACCAGCGTAAACCTTTAGCGTAGACGGGAGCCATTCCATTATTCTCTTTCAAATGGGGAGCACCATTCCATTATTCTCTTTCAAATGCCAATGTCTCTAACTACTCTATCAGTGATTACAGTCGTAATATTTATAATACCAATTCGTATTACAGATGACAGTATCGATGTAACGAATGAAGAAGACTCCACATCGTACTCCCCTCCCTCCGTCACCAGTTATCCACAAAATTGTGTGCCATACAGGTAAATATTTAATTGTAATATTTACAAACTATTCTAATACCTACAGGTGGCCTTTACAGCTTCAGCGAATGTTAGAGGGCGAGTGCAGAGGGCACTTCATAACCACGGTATAACTTATAGAGCGGCTTAAAGTTAACTCTTAACTAACGGATACAATCTCAGAAATAGACATAGATAAACTTACATATACATCGATAGACATATATATTTACAGTAGTAACTTTCTATTACAGACCTCTGGGTGTTGAGAGTGCAGCAGAGACGGCTGCGAGACTTCTCTTCATGGCTGTGAAGTGGGCGAAGAATCTACCGTCTTTTGCCAGCCTTGCTTTCAGAGATCAGGTAAAATAAATAGTAAATAGGTTATTTATTCAGTATAGAGATTCATAGCCCCGGCCTCATGATTTAGCGGTGTGTAACTTTGCCTTACTTCCATTGGTTACGGATTTAAATATTTGCATTGATTAAGTTTCTGTGCCAACGATTCATACCGAGATAAAGCGATACATCAAGAAATATACAGACCGATTTTCTAATCATACTAATTCATTGGTAGCACAGATCCTGGAGCTTGGAGCTCTTCTACTGTGTAGGTCAAGAGACTAAAGTGGAGTAATGTATTGTAGAAAAGCAGAAGTACTGTTGACCTCTTCGCCTACAAATTAAGGAGCACTCAACATCTGCTTATAGTTTTGCGACTGACCGCCGATTAAAATAGAAAAAATCGTTTTAATCTGGGTGTTTTCTACGTATTATATATATACAATTAATGTTATGTTATATATATTACTAGTTGTGCCCGCGACTTCATCCCGTGCTGAAATGTCCTTGAAAAGAAAAATAATCTAACCCAAAATGGCAAGAAAAAGTTTAATCGTTCTTCTTATTTAAAAAATAACGTTTTTCCTTACAAACACCCCCTATTTTACCCCCTTGAGGCTAACAACAAACTTTGAATGTCATATTTATTTAAATTAAATCAACAACCAAAAATATAAATATCAAGCTTCTAGCTTTAAAAATGACGATACTTCCATAAATCCTTTCAAGATGGCGCTATGTGTATTGTCTTGTTGTTATTATTATAATTATAATTTCAGGTGATACTTCTAGAGGAAGCATGGTCGGAGTTGTTCCTATTGAACGCTATACAGTGGTGTTTGCCGCTTGACGCCGCGTGTGCCGCTTTATTTGGCAGCGACCAAATGGACCAAGGTAACTATAACCATAAACAAAACGAAATAATATTGGATGCAAAAAAAATATATATAAAACCTACGGCAAAAAAATATATGTAAAACCAACGGCCTCCGCTGAAATTCAGCGCTGTAGTTACCGCTGCAAAAATATTTTTAGCATTTTTTCTGTATATGTTGATAGAAGGTTATGTGTGTGGAATATAGAACTATTATTTTCTCACGTCACAGCTTTTGAATGGGCCATTATAATTTTTTTTTTGTTGTTCTCGTAATTATTCGGTTATTTAGATTTACTGACCAAGTAATGTAATATAAACAGTAATATATTTATTTATAGAGACCGGTATGACTTCGGCAGCGTTGCGGCGACTGCGCGAAGTACTGGCGCGGTACCGCGCTGTCCTAGTAGACCCAGCCGAGTTCGCTTGCATGAAAGCCATTGTCCTCTTCAAATCAGGTCAGCAACTCAAATTTTTATCCAATTCATCCCGACTAGATCGGATGCCATCAAGCACGAACCAGGCGTCTTGGTCATCCGTTTTATTTTCTTATGGATGATAATGGAATGGAACCCGCCTGGGCTAACGGTTTGCGCTGGCGAGGCACCATTGGAGGATGATAGGATGAGCATGAGGTCAGGGCAGTTTTACCCATCATGGTAAATTCACCAGGTATTTACCTTGATACTTGATGATTTCCAGGGAAACCACGTGGAGGTCAACCTGATCAACCTGAAATGAGATTGTTAATTCGCATAACAAACCATTATACTCATTCATGAGTATAATGATGCTACAACGCATTGCGGTAAGAGGAAATTGTTATGTGGGGAATGTTAGAATTGTTAGGGATAAGTAGTCCTATTACTAGCAATGTTAATAGCTAGTAATCGAGTAGTAGAACAGTCATTTAGATCTGATTCTAAATTAAAAAATGATTTATTCATGTAGGACATTTTAGCCGCTTATGAACGTCAAATATTATAATTCATTCCCTACCATCCAGTTCAGCAGATATATAGATTAAATTGAGAAGAACTGGCAAGAAACTTAAATGAATTACTTGATGCCATCAAACATAAACCAGGCATCTTCATCGGTTAACTCATCCATACATATAAAAAAAATTGGAGTGTCTGTTGTGTATTGAAATAACAGTTTTTTACTACATGCATACGAATATAAATTTAACTATATGAATTAATATATTATAAATTAATTAAATGAATACAATTAAACTTTAATTTTCTAAAACAAAGGATCTTTCTAAAATAAAAGTACCTTAAATTACTCCTTATTACATCAGCTACCTGCCAAAAGTGTCCCGTCAAAATCGGTCCAGCCATTTCAGATTAGCCAGAACAAACAAACAGACAGACAGACTAAAATTGTAAAAAATGTAATTTCGGTGTATGTACCGTATTTATATTCATATGCATGTAGTAAAAAACAGTTATTTCAATATTACAAACAGACACACCAATTTTATTTATATGTATAGATGTATAGATTATATGCTTTTTGAGTATTATATATATACGATATACTATATTATATTATACGATTTTTACTAAGTTGAAGGCTACATAATATTTATTAAAAATTGTGTTACCTAAATAAATATAATTTAAAATGATTGAATTTTGAATTTGAGTATAGTTATTTTATTATCTTTACAGAAACACGAGGTCTCAAAGATCCCCTTCAAATAGAAAACCTCCAAGACCAAGCGCAAGTGATGTTGATGACTCACGCCAGAACTGCTCATGGAGCTGCTCCAGCCAGGTTCGGGAGGCTGCTCCTCCTTCTTCCCCTGTTGAGGCTGGTCAGCCCCCAGCAGTTGGAGAGGGAGTTCTTTGCCAAGACAATAGGCCAGACACCGATGGAGAAGGTCTTAGCAGATATGTACAAAAATTAGCTCTGCCAATTTGTTCTCGCTTACTAATAATCTTGATTATAAAAGACTTTTTAATTAATGAAATCATACACCCATCTGTTCCATGTACATATATGGACATATAAGAATGTTAGGATGAGCATAAAGTTAAGTTAAGCCGATTTAATTTTATTTACCCATGAGGGTAAATAAAATTAAATCAAAATATCTTTATTACAGTTTACAGACAGTTCGGAGTGTTTTCGAGCTGAGAAGGACTGACAAGAAACTCAATGCTTATTATTTTCAAATAATCTTGTACATTATTAAAAAGATACAGATTATTTTTAAACTAATGTAGTAAAAACACCGCCTTTCAATAGTCGCGGGTTCGATTCCTCGCACGGTGTAAAAACTTGTATTCATAGCGGTTTCTATGTTAGTTGTCGCATCCTCCTTGTTAATGTGTATTGACTTAAAACAACAATTATTTAATAGAGCAACACGTTAGTTTCTTGATCATTCTTCTTGTAATGAGTCCGCGTTCCGAATGAGTGGTAGAATAAAAAAATACTATTCAATAGTGCTTATATTTTATTCCAATAAAGATTATTTCTATATAATTACTTTGGATACATAACGTAGCCACTGTATAAGGCGGGCCGTATGCTCACAAATGCCCTGTATGATGTAATTGTAACATGTAACGAATGCAATGGCCTCATTTCTTGTTTCATGGTAAATTATGTACATAGATTTAAATTGAAAATGTAATATAGTATGAAATTATTGTATAAATTATACATTGTAGATATTTAATTAAATATTTATTCAAAATTATATATATCAAGAGAATACTTAGAGACACTGTGTAATTATGTTTAGACATTGAAGATCAATTGGTACCTAATTGTTAGTTAACATTTAATGTATATGTAAATTATGTAATAATAATAATAATATAAAAAAACACACACACTTCACTTATTTGGTTTCGGCCCAAAGCGTAAACAACCAGTAAAAGCTATTAAAATGAGACATCAATAATAATAATATCTTATAAAATTAACACAGCGCCATCTAGTCTCACGGTAGTCAAAGTTTGTGTTATGGGTACTATACAACTGATATAAATGCATAGATATGTATTTTTTCTAAATACGTAGGTACATATTATACATAGAAAACATCCAGACCGATACAAACTATCATTTACAGGAATGCAAATGTTTGTACCGTGTGAGGAATCGAACCCGCGACGTAATGCGGCATCTATATAGTATGGGGCTATCCACAAATTATTTGATATGTTTATTAAGGGGGTTTTATGCATGATAATGGAATGGTGCACCAGCCTGCTCTAACGGTTAACTCTGGCGGTCCCATCTAGGTTTACCAACTATTAAACAGTATTATACTGTTTTTCACTAAATTATACTTTTTACTGTTGGACAAAAATAAAGTATACAAAATACTGTTTTCAGCATTAAAACCTCAGCATTTACTGAAAGCACAGATAATATAATATTGCGTACTGAAAGAGTTTTTTCAGTAATGAATGCTAAGTAGCGAGATGATAGAAATAGAGCATCCATTAATTTAATCAAAATGAGCTCTTCATTTATTTTAATTTCAATTATACTTGTGGTGAGGCTTATTAAGTTTTTAAATTAGTAAGTTGTCCGAGAAGCTCTAAAACATATATATTTAAAACAATAAATAAATAAAACACTGTATAATATTCTTCACAAACCTGAATATACTTTATTTCTTGTAAAAAAAGTTGGCAAGCATCGTAGTAAATCCACCATGCATTTATCACGTCATACATAATCAATTCTATATATTTAATGCATAAAAATTTTTTCTTTACGATTGGATTGTAGCGGAATTACACAAAATAAGTTTTTTTATCGGACTACTCTAATGCTGTTGGCCTCAACTGACCTTTACAGCTTCACCGGAGGATAGGGGGCGAGTGCAGATGGCACCCCAAATCTGCAGAAGGGCTTATGGAGCGGCTGAAGGCCAACTCCCGCCTGACAGATACGACTTCAGTCTGAAGGTACCACTAGGGGTTTGAACCTCGGCTCGTGCCGTCGTAATTTCGATCCCCGTTTGAATTGGCTGGGGATCGATCGGAGAGGAGTCCATTTCACAAAATAAGTGATATGGACTCCCGCAAAGTTACACCTGATCTGACAAAATGTAATAAATTCTGTTCTATTTTATTCTATGTGATTCATTTCATAAAATTGGATCTTGTTCTAAATTAGTCGTCCTACCTATGATTCATATATATATTTTAGGCAACCAGCTCGCTTGGCGTTTGTTGAATATCCCAATGTATAAATAGGTGTGAATTTCATCATTGTTACAAAATGAGTCTACAGCTAATTATGCTACTAGATTCACTTAGTTAACAGATGAAGGCCTCGTGGTCTAGCGGTTTAGTACACCGCCTAACATCCTATGGTCGCGGGATCAATTCCTTGCACGGTATAAATATTTATGAGTATGATTGTTTGTATCGGTCTAGGTGTCTCCTATGGATATTATGTATTCACAAAAATTTGTCTATGCATTTGTATCCGTTGTCTTGTACCCATAACGCAAGTTCTAGCTTGCTTATCCTGGGACTAGATGGCGCTGAGTGCATTGTCCAGAGATATTATTATTACCTATATATCCGATTGCGTATAAGAGATCGCTTTTAGTAATAAGACTAATGAAGCAATTTATAAAATTCTATTTCATATTGTTTTAGCGCGAACTAAGACCGAACTTTCTCTTCAAGTTTCGTTTTAGTCTTATTCTCTTTAGTTTATTATTATGAAATGTAAATAAATATATTATATTATCTATACCTTATTTAATGCTTTGTACTTCCCTTTCCAGTGGGAACATTATGGTAAAAACTTTGTATAAATAGTTATAAACAAACGCATATTGTGTAAAGCATTTAAAGTCGTATACATAGGGGATACGATTCATTTTCGTAATTGCCATTTGTAAAATTAAGTAAAGATATAGTTCACTCTAGCCAAAAATCATTGTAAATAGCTTAGGTAACTGCTTGTAGAAAGAGGTAAGTAATTTTAATGTATAAATAACTAAAAACTGCCACTGTATTGTATTAAAATCGTAAATAATATTGATAAATAAATGTGATGTCCAAAGGTTGGTGTTACATGTATTTGCTTTATAATTTCCTTTACAAGTCCCTTATCATATTAATTCGTGAAACATGTTCTTTGTATCCATTTTTACGAAAATTGCGCCAACGGATGAATATGAAATTTCGTACATTTATAGTTTATATACAGAAGAATTTCAGATAACTTATATTTTTTTATATTAGGTATGTATAAAAAATATAACTCAGTAACCTGTAATTTCACTCGTTAGGTACTTCATTCATTCATTAATGAGAAGCTTCTTATGTAACTACAAGTAGTTCATACTGGCCTGGTATACCTACATTAGTATTAACTTAACAACCGTTTGATTGTTTATGAAATTGTAAAACACAATTGTATTGGGTACTTCGAACCTCTTTGGATCTATGTCAACCTGGTATTATAACTTTCTGTCGCAGGTAGTGCATCGTCAAACAATATGTATATAATGTATGATATAATTTAATTAAATTATAGAAAGCTGAACCCGAAAACATTAATGTGCTATAAATTAAAATCGCCATTAAAAATAGGTGTAGATGGTAGTTGGGTGAAAACTTAAGATTGTCTGTATTTTTTAATGCCAAATTTAAATTAACAAAATTAAAATAAAATTGATCAAAAAATTAAAAAGGGAATGTTAGGGGTGAACTCTTATCACTTAGAAATATGAAAAATAGATAGATTCCGATTCTCAGAGCTACTGAATATGCTACAATTTCATAACAATCGATTAAGTCTTTTCGAAGAGAATGGTAACTGACATTGTGACACGAGAATTTTATATATCAGAAAGAAGATAAGAACATAAGGTTAGCAAGTCGCAAGCAATACGTCATATAATTTATAGTTGGACGATCTTCATTAGTTTATACCACAGATAATATAATATTACATAGTTTATACAATCCTAGTAGGTAATTGCAATACAACACCACACAAAAATGTTCTTTATTTCTCTGTACTATAACCTTATCTTGTAAATTTATGGAGTTTTAACTAAGGACGAATCCACAGTCAGCAGAAATTAATTCTTGATGAAGGAACAATTACAATGTTTTAGTTTCCTTATATTATTCCTGATAAATAATGCGTATCTTGCCTTAAAAATATTATTGTTACCGGATTATTTGTTTGCCAACCGGAAACAATTGCTTTTAATTAAAATACACGAACGTTGATATGAAAAACTTTATTTTTTTATTGTTATTTTTTCAATACTACAAATGTGTAATAAATATAGGCATGTATATAAACGATATTCAATATAATATGAGTATATTAATGGTATAATAAAATCGAGCATAAAACCCTTGGCACTCTTTATTAAAACTTAATTACCTCACTTTAGAATCATAATCATATAATTAGGTACATAAAATAGACTATAAACTGATAGTCAGAAATGCAGATAATGGAAATCTTACTAATATTATAAACGCAAAAGTTTGTGTATATGTATGGATATATGGATGGATGTTTGTTACTCTTTCACGCAAAAACTATTGAACGTATTCCATGAAACTTTACGGTAATGTAAGCGTATTGTAGCTTACATTACCGTACATCAGAATAACGTAAATTTGATGCGGGTGAAACCGCAGGCTCAGCTAGTAAGTTATGAGCGTGAATTAATCTATTTTTTATGCCGCAAGGCACAGAATATACGTGTGCATGCTCGACTCTCGACAATCGTCTTTACACACCATACAATAGCCCATACAATTAACTTCATTGATACAATAGATCAGCGGTTGTCAAACCGTTTTTTGTTTTTGTATTTATTTATTTTAAACAGTTTTTGTACAAATTGTAACTGTTTTTTGACCTAAGGATATTTATATTATTATTTCACCCACTGTG